ACTGCTTGAACAATAAAGGAGAGAATATGGCAGAGAAATCACTGAGGAATCAAATGTATGGTAACAGTTAAATGGCCCTTTTTTTTCAATTGACCACAAGGGCCTGCAAAAGCAAATCCTTATAACTTAGGTCCATGTCGCAGCTTTTTAAGGTGTCAACCTGGCCAGGCTAAACCACATTTCCCAGCATATTTCTGCTCTGGGTGGGCCACTGGAGACAGATTCGAGGAAACATGGAGGACAGATATGCACGGCAGCCTGCACACCTGCTGCTGATCTGCTGAACTTTGTTGTCATGAAGCAGCTACTAGGCCCTCAACCGTCCCTGGGATCTTCCTCCACCCCTATGACTCTTGGTCACACATGTGTGTCTGGCTTTGTGATTGAAGGCTCCCATCTTCCACAGGGTTTCTGCTATAAAGCAAAGTCCGAGGCACAAGGACTAGCACAGGTTTTAGTCCATCCTTGTGAGGTTTCAGCTTGTTCTTTTTTTTGTGGGGAGTGTGTGTGTGGGGGAAACAATAAACACTTTTATCACGTGAGCAAAGAAAGGAAGGCTTATTTGCCTTTCTGGGCTTTGATTTTCCTCGGGAAGAGCTCCAGCCCCTCGCCCTGGAACACAGGGCCATCTGCGTGCAGTGCTGGCCTGGTCTGGATGCAATGCAGGCAAGAAGCTGGCCCTGCTGGAGCTGCTCCTCTGGGAGACGCATGGTTTGGGCATTCTTTTTCCTTTCATCGTGTTTCTTCTGAACTTCTTTGATCACTTTTTTGTTTAAAATCTCTTCCTCCTTGAGAGTCAGCCTGGCCCCCTTCCTGCAGCCCAGAGGCAGTGCACAGTGGGATTGGTCCTGCTGCCAGTGTGGTGTGCTGTTACTGAGCATGACACAGTTCTTCACCAGGGTCTTGGTGTGGACCAGTTTGTCATTGGACACGTGGTAGACAACTTTGATGATCCTTGTTTTGAGGTACAACACTCTGAGCCCCAGGAAAAGTTGCCCACGTCCAGCCTTGGTGCAGTATTTCTTGTCACCTCCCTCACACGTACCGTGTGTATGCAGTGGGGTGATCTTAGTGCTGGTGGCAGGGGTCCCAGCTCATAGTTCTGCTTTTTGGGGTAGGACTTCCTCTTGCCCCCATCTTGTGGCACTTGTGTCAGTTGTCTGGAGAGAGACCATCGCCTGGCATCAGCTGGAAGGAGCTCACCTTGTTATTGATCCTCCCTGTGCAGACAACTTCTCTTCCTACTGACCTGCGCCAGCATCAGAACCCAACAGCCTTACAGATGCTGCTTAGCCAGCTCCAACAATTAGTAAGGTCAAGGCCTATGAATAATCCCTTTAAAAACAAATGAAATTTTGTCTGCATACCCTCCCATACATACAAATAAATATGTCTACTGCCTGTGCATGTTTTGACCGGTCCGACCAACCCTGACTATGAAGTGCAGCACAGCTAATGTGCTCCTCTGCCGGGTCCTAGGCTTCCCACACAAATACAATGAACAATGTCACTGTTCCTTCAATGAACAAAATCCTTCAGTCAGGTTATCAGTTAAGTTCAGGTTATCAGTTAAGTCTTACTAGCCTGAGTCCTCCATTTCAAGTAGGTATTTACATATCTCCCCTGATCATAGGTGCTGATTTTGTGGTTTAATTTTCAGGTTCAATTTTATTTCTCTTATTTCCAAGTTGTAAGGATTCCTTATCATTTGTGTGACAAATACAAATGATGGCTATAATGTATTAAATATCCACAAGGCAGTAGAACTGAATCTCATAAAACTCCTAAAGGGCAGGTAAGATAATCTAAATTTTGCATAATAAGAAACTGATGTTAAAAGAGGTCACAGCTAGTGAAGTGTTATATTGAGATTCAAATGCTAGGTTTTTGACAAGAAAGCTATGTTATTCTAGACGACCTAAGCCAATCTAGACAAATATGTCATAGCAACTTGAAACTCACACTGGGTGTGTGTGTGTGTGTGTGTGTGT